TGCATTACTGATATAAGATATGATATAAACAGGGACAGATTATTATGATTTTAATCATCGCAAGTCAAATATAATAACTTTTCTATTGACAAATCTAGTTTTCTGGATATATTTTTTTTGAAAAATAAACTCCAATATACAACCATTAGTTTATGGGTGAGTGTTTTTGTTTTCCTAATTCAAGTCGGATTGTGTACTGACACCTGTCATTACCCTGATGATGGTTTATGTGATGATGGTGGTGATGGATCTCAGTACAGTGTATGTAACTATGGCACAGATTGTGCAGACTGTGGAATAAGACCTAATCCTCGTAAGTCATAGTTACATGATTATTACTCATTCATAATATTCATAAAAATATACAATTTTATAACCTATACAAACATATCATTCCATGTGCCGGTTGCTAGGATTATTAATGTGTTTACACAGATCTCAAAAATACGACAATAATTATATTCTATTAATTATATTTGTTCTTTCTTGTATAGAATGCAATGACGATTGTTATTGGAATGGTGATGGCGAGTGTGACGACGGAGGTGCTGGGTCCTTGTACAGTGTATGTGCATATGGTTCTGACTGTCTTGACTGTGGAAAAAGAACGGATATAGGTGAGTTTTAGTGTGTATAATATTACCATGGTGTATATGGTTTTATTGTTCTTACTCAATTGCAATATGTGTTCAGTAACACAGAGATTTGTGGCAAATCTTCATTAGTTTCGAATTGTTTTATTTACTGTTGTAATAAATAAAGTGAATACGATTATGGTAATACAAGTACTCGTGTTATTGTTATGTCACTACTGCTATGATATTCATGCTTGGTATAAGCCTAGCTTAACAAACACTTATATAGATGAATTTGACCAAATTAATATTAATGTATATTTCTTTGCATAGTTTGTGAAACTACTTGTGCGTACAACGACGATGGCGAATGTGATGACGGTGGTGCAAACTCCCAATATAGTGTGTGTACCTTTGGAACAGACTGTATGGACTGTGGAGTTAGAGGTAAGAGACAATCAAAATATCAATTGTTGACAGGTGAATCTAGCCCTTATAACCATTTAAATTTGCATAATAATTATGTTTTTCTTTGTTGACAGTTGGGTCAGCAAAACGGTCAGCAAAAAGATGGAAAAAGGGAATGGAGGAGAAAAAGCGTGATAAGAAAGGACAAAAAACACGTTAAATGTCCATAATATAAAAACATGTTAAAGTAGTTTAGTTGGAATAAGGGTATAACCATGCATCATAAAAATACCAACGAATATATAATATTGCTATAATTGATTTCAAGATACAACAGATCACTCCCTGTGACTGACTGTAAGTAAATGAGAATGTTATAGTTAATAAATTATGGTCAAGTGTATTTATGCGTGTTATTTCGTGAGTGGTGCAAAGTGTGGTTATACGTCATGACATATTGAACATGTGTGAAATATTGGTATCTTTGGTACTACCAAATAAACGCAACTTACTGGGAAACTAAATATGGTCTTTGTAATTCCACGTGTACTCCCAATTCCTTCTATCATGTCGCCATTTGGCGACGCATGTCAAGCTATAAACCGGCAACAGTACTCATATCGCCCAGTCCTCCGCTTTCATCGCCTTTTAATCGACCACATATTCCCTTAATTTCCGACCGAATAACGACGGGTTTGCGCGGTCGAAAAAATTGGACATTATTCTACAGGCGGTTTGCTCAGCATAACAGGTCTTATAGAAATACTACCGGCCTAGATCCATCATTCAAAAGTACACCAAGGACAGGAAAAATACAGTTTTGAATATTAACACCGTTCGCATTTTTTGAATTAGCCAAAACAAAATAAAAATTGTATGCTGCTTATATGGGAGTTA